ATTAAAATGCCAAATAAGCCCTTAATAATTTATATATTATCTTTCCATCCTACTTTCATTAATTAAATATTATTATCTTATTTTATTTGATTTGCTCACCACCAAAGTATGTAGAATAGGAGTTATAAGGATATAGACAAAGATTGAACTAATATCTTATTAATACCTTTAAAAGATTCTTAGTCTAGCTAATGAAATTTATAAAAGTAGTAATGTTTAATAAAATAAAATAAAAAACTCATAATTTTTTTATTATTTAATGCAACAAAAATATAATTCATAAATGGTTAGGAAATTTTTTTATTTTTGAAAAAAGAGAGGAGATATGAACAACCTTAAGAGAGTAAAAGAGGGAAAGCAAATGAGAATGAGGATAAAGCCATTGCTAATCACCTTTATAAAAGAAAGAAAAACAAAGCTTATTCTCGGTGGTGGGTCCAATCTTTTAGTATTATGACTTATCTGAGAGTAATAGAAAAATATTTATTAATTTTGTAGGCAAAATAATATATATATATATATATTGATAATGATAACGTGAATATTAACCATTGCTGTTTGTCTGGGTGGTGAAGAGCTGGCTGAGCAAAGCCTAGGTCCCTGGTTCGAATCCCTTGGCAAGCAGTGAAAGCCTTAAGTGTTGGCTTGTGTAAATTGGTGTGGATTGCGTGCTAGGTCGATCGGGATTTTCACTGACCTAAGGACAGTGCTTCCTCGTTACAAAAAAAAAGAGTGAATACTCTGGATATTATTGTCAGACAAATCTTTGGCATATTTTAAAAAATGGTTACATTTTAAAAGTTTTAGCATGAAATTTTAAAACTGATTCCCATTATAGTATTCTGTCATTAAATTTATTGTCTGTTTAGCTATTTTGAGCAGCTTTTCTCTATCTCGAAGTATTCTTTTTGTTTCTTCATTTTTAGCAAAGATCTGAGTAGTTATTTTCTTGATAGCATTTGGCAATTTGTATATTGTTATTGATATGATTGGCGGGCTTAATCCGAATATATAGGAATTTTCTTTTTTATTAAGTACTCAAAATTTTCGGCGAGAGCGTCTAAATCCCCCCTGGCTAGGATTAATTATTTTGTGCGGATGCCGAACGCCGTCCGAAGATCAACCAGAATGCGCCATGTTACCGCTTAGCTCAGTACTGTGGCTCGATACTGCTCGGTGCCGATAATGTGGCGCATTCTGGTTGGTCTCCAAACAGCGTTATGCTTCTGGCCTCCGCACAGAATAATTTCTCCTGAAAAGATACAATCATCCTTGGACTGCTTTGAACATGAAGAGTTTGTATTAGCCTTTGTTTCATATAAAATGTTTCAATCTTCATGCATTGTATTTTGATTGCTATCTGAAAAGAAAAGTAATTAGAAAGCTATCACTGACCAATGTCTATTGACGTTTTACCCTTAACACGATTTGTTACTCTTTATTAACATCACATGATCAAGGAATCAAAATTTTTTATTCAAAATAAGGATTAGTGATTCTAATGAAAATGAGCAAGCCCGGCTCTATGATTTATCCCTCTTATAGTAAATAAATTTAAGTTTTACTTTTTTATTTTGATTAAAATGCCATATTTTTGTTATTTATGAGCTTTGTTAGATTAGATCTATTGTTTCATTTTTTAGATATATAACTTTATGTTCAAATCTATAAGTTATTTATTTATTTTAGATCTATAATGTTTAGATTCTTAAAGGATTCATTTTTTATTTTGATTAAAATGCCATATTTTTGTTATTTATGAGCTTTGTTAGATTAGATCTATTGTTTCATTTTTTAGATATATAACTTTATGTTCAAATCTATAAGTTATTTATTTTTTTTAGATCTATAATGTTTAGATTCTATTTTAGATGTAGACTTGATAAATGTAATTAAATGGATTTTTTTAAAAAAATTTTTATTTGAGTGATTTGTTGGTTTATATTTTAAATTTCAACAATATTTAAAAAAGTTGAAATTAATTTTATATTAGTCAAATTAACTTAAAATTATTTTATTTATTTAAATATTTTTATGTATATGTGTGTATGTTTATGAGGATATGATGTGTGCGTGTATATATATTAATGAGTGAAATTATTAATAGAGTTGAATTATTATTATTATTTTTTTTGTAGCTTCTCAACAAATTTTTCAAGATCCAATTACTTCTCCTAAAGATCTTTTACTCTTATCCCCTTTTTTAAGGGTGGACAAAAAATGACCATGGAATGTATTATTTTATATATGAAATAAAAAAATAAATTTTTTCTTAGAATTTGGACAAATGTATTTATTGAAAGTAAACAAAATAGTTAAAATGATTATTCTTCTAAGAAAAAAAGATTTCAAAATGGGTAATTGGCCGCCCTGAACTCATCCCCGTTCCGCTCATCTAATCTCGATTAATTATTCTAACGAACTCTAGACGACATGCAGGAATCAAAGAGAGAACACCACGTCACTTTTTTGTTGTGTACTAGTACGGTGTATCGATGTGTTCCGGGTGACGTAGCGCGCTCTCATTCATCTCCAAACAGTCCGGTGTTCGCACACAATAATTTCTCTCTAATCTCAACTAAACCATTTGCTCAATTTAAAGAGCACTCATTCCTTTAAGAGCAAGCATTGTTGATACCTTCAATAAGGAGTTATATGTATTTTTCCAAACAAAAAACATCAAAAGCACGCACCATAAACAATTTAAGAAAAGGAAAGCAAGAATAGGGAGCTCAATAATAAAAAATATAGAAGAAAAATAGAAGGAAATATGCATGTGATGTAATGGAAAAGTAACTGAAGGCAGTTTCTTCTTTCTGCATGTCCTTTGGAGCTAAGATAAGCAGCGATTCTATAGAAAAAAAATTAAAGCTACCGTATATAGCATGCGAATCTTGCAGTGTTTCCTCTCAGTATCTTATGGACAGTTCCTCTTCCATGCTCAGTTGATGCCAAACTTACCGTCTTCATTACTTCTTTTCGCTTTTTTAATTATTTAAACCTTCATCATCTTCACTAATTTTACTTAACTTTTTAATTGGAATTTATAATGAACAGCTTCTTCTCCAACATTCACTTGTTTTCTCTTTCATTTGTCACTTCATTACTTTGTAGGGATTTGCAAGATTTATTTGTTAACAACTTTTAGTCTTCTGATAAAATAAATTTTTTGAAAATTTCAATTAAATAAATCAAAATAGACTTATGCTTGATAATGATATTAAGATTTTTTTTAATCTGATAATATACAAAAATTTATAAAAAACCAGAATATATATAATAATAATATAAGAATTTTCAAAATTTGATTACAATATCAATAACTTAGGAAGAGAAAAATTATCAAATAATTAAAGTAAGATTTTGTTATTCTTATTTAAAAATGATTAATCTATTAATTTTTCAATAAAATTCATCATATTAAACGTTGGAAGTCAGTAACAATTAAAGATTTTGTTTTCTAAATTAAAATTCATATAATTATAAAATTTCTGCTCAATATTCTTATAATTTTTTTTTCCATACATTGAATGAGTGCAGTATACATCTCTGTGGAACTGAATTTTGATAAGATTCCTTCAGACAATATTTTTGCCATTAAAACCGTGGCTAGGTTTGGAGGATGGCAAAAGCAGCAGACAGGCTTTTGAGTTCACTGCCAAAAGTAAGAAATTAAGCACTTCATTCTGGGCTTTATGTACTTCAATCAAAGCAAACATTAAGAAAACAGCAGAAATATTATTGCAAGAAAAAAAAAATTTCAAACTAAGCTTTTTGGGCAAAAAGCTCATTTAACTAATCATGGTTAAGCAATGGCTTTTATGGATTAAGGTGTATAATTAGTACCTATTTTTAATGATTAAAAAAAAACAATTAAAATTAAGGATTATTCCTAGAATTTTTTGTTATTTATTATAAAATTTAGTTTTGTTGGTATAGAAGAGAAATTATGGTTTAAAAAATAGCTTTTACTATTTAAGCAAATTATATAAAGTCCACAAAAACTAAAAAAATTTACTTTAATGAATCTTGTTATTAAAAAAATAGCTTTTACTCTTTAAGAACATGAACAACACATTTGAAGTATATGACAATTAAAAATATTATAAAAATTACAAAATTTTAATAATGCAATTAGGATCATATGATAAAAAAAATTCAGTCATCATTGTGATTTGTTGTTCATATTTGATTCATATTAAGCTCTATAATAAAGTCATAATCATGAAAAAGATTATTCAACTCACTAATGAATAGAGCTCATTGATCTCAGCTTGATAATTAACAAATCAAATAAAAAAATTGTTTTGAATCATTAATCGGAGAAATTAATCTGTGCGAATGCTGAACGTTGTCCAGAGACCAACCAGAATGTACCACATCACCTCCTGCTCAGTACCTGGCTCGGTACTGCTCAGTACGACAGCTCATACTGCTAACGTGGCATTATGGTTGGTCTTTGAACAGTGAACTGCATGCATTCGGCATCCACAAAGAATAATTTCTCCATTAATTAACACTAAACCCTAAACTCTTATTGAAGACTTATAGGACATTATTTTCTTAAATGAAATAGAAAATATACACAATGCAAATGAAAAAAAGAAAAAGAAAAACACCTCAGTTGATGCCTTAATCATTATGATCATCAGCAGCATCAACATATGCCTGCATACATATATGTACTTCACCGGTTCATAGATTAGGAAGAAAGACTATAAAACTCAACAAACAATATATAAAAACCAAACACCCATACTTCCAATCCATCTTCTTCTTTATCAGATCTACTCAGAATATATAACACTGTAAAGAAGAAAACATTCTAATTAACCAGAAAGCAAAATTCTCACCTTTGAATACTCTCTATATCTTTCCATTTCCTTCTTCATGCATGGACTACACCTGCACACCACATTTTCTTCATTCTTCTTAAAAAATAGCCCAAATCATCCAGGTCAGTTCTAAACAAAGTCTAATAGCTGAAGGAAGTCAAGTTCTGGAGCTCCCAAACTTATATTATAATATACTGAACTATGCCAGCTCAAGAAATAAAATATTTTATCTTCATACAGAAGACATTTATATCGAATTACAAGACTTCACATTCTATTTTAGAAGATAACAATCAATTTATCTACAAATAAACCGCTCTTCAGGAAACAAAAATAAAATAAAATAGATATAAAATATATGTATAAATAAGATGGTCATGAATAATATATAGCTGGAAATAGATTTATGAGAAACTTTAAAAAGCTTGGCCTCTCCAGATCTACAATTGTTCTAATGACTGAGCCTTTTCATTGTAGAGCAGAACAGTAATTTGATGATCACATATGATATGAAGAAGAAGATGAAGATGAAGATGAAGATGATGAAGAGGAGGAAAGTAGTAAGTTATTCAAAAGGGAGGCCTAACTCCACCGCTTCCCTCTCCTCCCCACCCATAACCTTCTCCTGATCCAATCTGATAGCCCCCCAAATTATAAAAAGGTACCCCGCCGCCACCGCCGCCCTCACCGCCGGTCACTCCGGAAGACTGTGATGTCGCCGCCGGCGGTACCGCCGTCTCCTCCTCTGCTTCCAACGGCAGCCTTTCATATACAGCGTTAGAGAACGACGCGACCATCAAAACCACTGGCCCTACCGCCATCAAAGGCCCCACCACACTGCCCCCTACCACTTGCCCTTGCCCTCCGGCGAGAAACACGGTCAGCCCGCCAGACCCAGGCGGCGCTGGCGGAGGCAACACCGTCCCCGTCAGCGACAAAATTTCAAACCTTCCCCTCAAAACCGCCGCCGGAGAGGCCCCTGGTTGCCGGAGCGCGACGTTGACCACCGACCCTCCGCCGCTCAGAACGCAGATCCCCCTCCCACGCCGCCGAGCGTACTCGGCTAAACTCTCCGCTACGTCAGCACCACCAGCGATCTCAAGCACGTGTGAACGTAGCGCGTTCGGACTGTCACGTGTGACTATGATCGGCGGCTTCTCCTTGTTTTTAGACCCAGGGGGGCGACCACGCGGCCTCTTATTGCCGCTGGAGCTCAACGGCTGCTGATCTTCGCCGGCGGAGCCGGCGGCGGCGGGGGTTTCGTTCTTGGGACTCTGTTCCGGCGAGAGCTTTTGCAGATCCAGAGTAGGTGGCGGCGGAGGTGTACGAAAGAGTTGGTGGAGAACGCCACCGGCGCTGCCGGTGGATTCCATTCCAGTCATCATCCCCGGAACATCGACGCGCTCCCACCACTTAGTTGCCATATTTCTTCCAGCTAAACGAAGTTTTCTTCTGGATCAAATCAACGGGTGATCTCTATGATCTCTAAGATTGCTATCTTATGAAATGAAATGATGACACTAGTAGGAAAGATGCTTCCTTTGCTTACTAAATTGTACAGAGAATCATTCACTCTTCCGTTGATTCCTTCTGCAGGCAATCTTTTTTCTCCTTCTCCCTACAGCAGATAAGAGAAACAGAAATAGGATGACCAAGTAGTAAATGAAATCGACGAGTGATCTTCAAGGTTGCTGTTTTAAGAAAGGAAATGAAAAAACGAAGAAAAATTAAAAAGGTTTCAATTACTTCGCTTTGGTTTATTTCCTTCTACGGGTCAAAAAGATCTGAATTTTCACAGAAGAAACAGGCTAGGCTTCATCTTGCTGCTACCAGATCGAGCTCTCTGTCAGCTTCCTTTACCTTCTAGGTACCTTCTTCTGCCCTTTTTAGGAGACCTCCTCACTGTAGAGAGAGAGAGAGAGATGGTATTAAGAGCGATGAAAGAGAAATAGAGAATAATGAGAGAGAAAGCGAGCTTGAAGAATGAGACAAGGCTTCTTGGAGGAGATCAGCGCGATGAGATGAATGGAATAATATTTTTGAGGCTCGAAAATAATATTATATATGTGTAAATTTTTAAGTGCTTATATGCTATATTTTATGATAATTTTATAAGATATTATATTAGATAATATTTTTATGCTATGTTAGTTAGGTATATAATAATACCATACAAAGCAACAAATAAGTGATATACTTTCAATGATTTTATGAATTTTTTATTGCTAAAGACGAAAGTCATTTTATTTTTTTTAAACGGAAGCTGCTATTTTTTTAATTTAAATTTATTAGAAGAATTTTCTAAATATGGAAGAAATATTTTTTTTCTATGGTAGAACACGTCTGATTAAGATCTCATTTGGGGTAATTTTATTAATAAAAATATTAACTTTTTAAATCTGCTGAAAAAATTAACTTTTCAGTAAATTTTTTAAATAAAAATATTGGACAAATAAAAATTATAATTGCATCATGAAATCAAAGCATTAAGAAAATTATTCTAAACAAAGATTTCAGCTTCATTTAGGATGAATTTTTTAACTAATTTTTAGTAAAAATTTCTAATTTAAAAAATTTGTACTAAAAATTTATTTTATAAAATAATAAAAAATTATGAAGATCAAGCTTTTATTTGGAATAGTTTTCTTATTATTTTTTAAATTTTTTTAAAATTTTTATTACCGAGTTATACAAAAGTTGTACAGAGTTTTTCCTAGAAAAAACTCGTTACAACTCGGTATAGCTCGGTATAACTCGGTATTGGTCTTCACATAGCGGTATTCCTCGTTATTATCAAATAATACCTAGCAATACCAAGCAAATGCCGAGTTTTTTTAGGGGATTTTGCCTCCGACCGGACCATCCTCTATGTCCTACACCGGACCTAATAAAAGTTTGTATAGCACAGCTTAGCTTGCTCGATTAGTTGACAGTCAACAAAGAACTTTTAGATTAGTTTTATATATATTTTGTATCTATGAGTATATCTTAGTTGATCTAAGTGTCTTAAAAAAAAAGGTGAAATATAATAGTAATACAAAACATTCAATAAGATTGTTAAGTACATTTCATCACATTCGTTCAAATCAAATATTTCCTTAATGTATTCAAGTATCAAACCTAGAATTTAGAAACCATTGTGAATGGACAAGAATATCAATCATACAGATTTCAAGTAGATATTGCATGATTAATAGCCACCTCATTGAGAGTTGTATGATTGACGAAAGAGTTGATAATGCAACATTCCTCAGCAATACTAGCAGACAACTCCACAAGGCAAGAAGAAAGCGAGCATCATTGTCTCAGCTCATTAAGGAGTTAAAACAAGCACCTAATTTTAATAACAACAAAAATGACATAAGATAAATAAAATTAAACACAAAAAGCACTCATCTTCAGCAAAGTACAAGATCAACAAAAGCCAACATAGTGATTTCATTTCTTCCTTATCGACTCGTAAGTTGGCCCAATTCAAACTAGCTATTGTTTGACAATCAGATCACAAAATGCTGTTGCTCAAAGCCGAAACTTTTATATACTCTAATTATTAGCTTCAACCCATTAATATAAAATTTAGCTAACAAGTTCCCACATCCAATAAATGGATATTAAAACCCCTTGAAATTTTTTAAGGCACCTGATCTTAATGAAACTATCCAGAAATGCACCACAAGATTAGATAGTTTGACATGAAAAACACTAACAAAGGAGGAGAAAATCACTGAAAGATTTGAGTGAAGGAGAATATGAATGGTGATGGAAGATTTGGTGGCAAGGGTTGTATCCACAACAAAGGCCTGGATTCGATGTCGAGACAAGCGGGCCAACCATGAAGGCTCACCAAATTGAGATTTAGCTTTATTCATTTCATCCTGATAGTCCTTTCCTTCATGTCAATCCAGCCGCAATCTGTCGACTAGCCTGCAAACGCCGAGGACTAGAGGAGAAGCTTCATCGTCCTTTCACTTTCTCCCTTCGAATTCCAGAAGCAAACTCAGCAGCCATAAATGAAATGTCGAATATGTGGAAGCGGCAATTAGGGTAAGGAATGGGAAGAAATAAGTGAGGTTTTAATAAATGTTAAAACTACTTTTTATACCTCCATATAGCAGCTATTTTCAAACATCCAATATTATTCGCTGTTGAAACATCATATTTTTGGTAGTGGGTGATTTGAATTATTTACCTGATTAATGGTATGCCTAATTGAATCAATGCTTGTAATCCCTTCATCTACTAGAGATAAAAGTATGCTGAGTAGCTTAACATTTAGTTACTGGATTGTTCTTCTAGTCAACAAACCATGGTGAACTAGTTGGACTCAAGAGAGATGATACATAAAATGCTTTAGAAGGCTAGGAATAGGTCAGGTAGACTTAAGAACTCTCTAAGAAGCTCACAAACCACTTGACCACATTTCATCTTTAATGGCCTCCACTTTCAAAAATGAGCTCTTCCTCTCTTTTTTTTTTTTTTGCAATGAGGGGGTCAAATCATCAAAAGTAACTTTTTCTATTATTAAAATGGTTAAAGGTTAATCATCCACTTTCTTTTTTCTAAGCTCAAAATGATATAAAAGTTAATAGAGGCACGGTGGACCACTCTATTATGACAAATAAGATTGACGCGCGGAACATGAAGAAGCTAAATTTGCTCTTTAATTTGATTATACTAACCCTCAAGAAACTCCTTTAGGATAGGTCCACAAATTTATTGGTCAAGCTAGCTCAAACTTAGTTGGCTTGATGAGTCTATGGACTTATTCAAGGTTTAGGCTAATATATTCAAGGGCTGATTAAATGAGAAACTAGGGCCCAAAAATAGGAAAAATATTGATTAAGTAGGGTTAACTTGATTAAATTACTTGTTTTAGGCTTACATAGATTTCTTAATTTCTAAGGAGTTTCATAATGCTTTGGGTGAGGTTAATTTACAAAATAAGGTTATTATATTAGGTTTGAGTCACCTATGGTATTATTGAGGGGAAAAGAGGTGATGATATTATAGTGACCTTTTCATGTGAATGATTTCACAAGAAGAGATAAAGAAAAGAGGTCCAGCAAATTATGACCAATAAATCATATTAAAATGTGTAAAATACTTACAAAAAGCTATATCATCAAAGTCAAGGTAAGTTAAATAAAGTAAACTATCTAGGTTGATTAGTCTTCCAAAGGGACTAGACTCTTTAAGATTTAATTATACCAAAAAAACACCTCTAAGAGACTCTTAATAAATAAATGAAACATGCTCTTATTTTGATTTATTATTTATGTACTTTGAAATGAATCAATCTACTACTAAAGGATGAATCATCATAAGTATGTGAGATGATTGTTTTTCCATATGAAAAGTCTATGAGATAATGAACTTTGAATCATCAAAGATTGAAAAAGTAATATAGTGGACTCAAAAGAGTGAAGCGTACTGGTAAGGTGTTTAGAAAAAAAAATTGGCGAAGGCGACATGGGTACCATCATCCCAAGTTATTAAGCCTAAAATCACTTTACTGTAAAGTCAATCAATCCAAAGCAATTATGAGACACTATATTAACAATTATAAATTATATATATTATCTAGAGTTAACCTCATGATCTTAAATCAAAAAAATAAAATTAAAAGTCCTAACATATGAATTTTAAGAGACAAACTAAAAAGACGCAAGCTTTACAATCCCTTAAAATATAAGAATTCCTAGGAAAAGAATGTGAAAAAGACAACCAATTTATAAATAACAAGAGCTACTTAATTAGAATAATAATCCATATGTGTTGATTTGACATCTCATGGAGCCAAGGAGTCTTCAAAGTTTATAACAAGTATGATTAACCTTTCCAAAATTGCTAATATAGAACTTTTTGATTTAGAAGTTTCACATTCTTTCTTATTTGAGATTATCTTTCCTAAGTTTATGTGGAACATACTCACTTAACTCTCGAATAGGCTATTATATTACGTATTGGTGATAACACTTTTGTAAATATTTTATACTTTGTGGATATATTGATAGTTATTAGAACATTCAAATCTAAATAATTAATTTTTCTACCACTTATTGAGTTTGACGTAATTTTTTATATGAATTTGCTGATTAAATATTATGCAACCATTACATAATAGAAAAAGTGAGTCAATTTTAATTTGACTAATAGTATGATATTTTACCTTTAATGTGAGAAAGGAATTAATGATATCAACTATTGTTGGTTCTATTAAGATTACTAAATGAATGAAATATGGAGAATTAGTTTTTCTGGTAAATTTAGAAACAACCAAATAAGAAATTGGCAAGATAAGTAGTATTCTTATGATGAACAAGTATGTTAATGTTTTTTTCTCTAAGGAACTTGTTGGTTTGACATCAAAAATGAGGAAGGTTGTACCAATCCTCAAAACGCCATATATAATAGCTATTAAGAAGTTGCATGAGTTAAAAAGAATAATTATTAGAGTTGATATAGAAGGGTTTATCAAATCAATTACATCTACTTGAACTCCTCTTGTGTTATCTATTAAAAAGAAAGATAGTATAATGAGACCATATATAGAATATAGAGGTATGAATAAAATATTTATTAAGAATATATAAGTATCTTCTTGCAATGATTAATGACTTTTTCCATTTCTTTATAGAAAATTCAGTATTTGTTAGAATTGATTTAAGATAATATCACCATGAAGTAAATATGAAGGATAATGATGTTGAAAATTCAGTATTTGTCCAAGAGAGTAGCGCCCCCTAGCGGGGTTCGATCTGATCGGTCAGGTCGCGGGGTCAAGGGGCAATATTCCTGCAGGGGTTTTAATTATACTAGGGACAATTGCCAAAAGATCATAGTATTTTAAAACTTTAAGCGGAGGCAATTGCCAAAAAATTCTTGTAATAATGACTAAAAAATAGATTGAATAGTGGCAAATTACCTAAATAATTGTATAATAAAAAAATCGCGGGGTTAATTGCACCCCTGTCCTCAAAGGGGTTCTGCCCCTGTGTGCGATTAAGAAACATTGTAGGTATATATTCT